CGCGCGAGAGCAAGCTGAGCGCCTTGCCATGAATGTCGAAAACACTGAAGGCCGTACGGTGAACGAAGAAGAGAAACAAACCAAAACTGAGAACGGTTGCTCCTCCTCCTCATCCTCCTCCACCTCCTACCCCTGTAAATCACGCCAACAAGCACTCTCACTTTCGGCGTGGTTGGGGACAGACCCAAAGGACTCGCGCAGGTGTCCGACGAGCTTCCCAACCGCGAGGGCAAGGGAGTTGGGGTCGGGGCAGCAAAGGTTCTTAGGGGGCGGGGTCTCCCATCAGCCTCATCACCTGCGCTCCCCACGAGCCGCACCGACCTCCAACACGCAGCCTGGTGGCGATGCCAGCGGTCTGACAGACATGTCGCGTCACTACCTCAACGGTAATATTACGATCCAACTGCGTACGCATGCACGCACACATTGATCCACATTCCACCGCAGAGGCGGCGCGAGGTTTGCTCAGCTCACGAGGTGCTGACCGCCAGGAAACTCGTTGCCATCCAATTCACATCGTTTGCATGCGACTTGCAAATTCGACGCTGCACGAAGCCTTCTCACCAAGCACTGACGACCGACAGAGCCCTGCGGTCATGCAGACGGTCCTGCAATTATTAGGAGGTGATACCTCGATAAAAGCGCTGCCATCCAACTGCCAAGGTTGATCCGAACTGCGGCGTAGAATGGTTGCGAGCTTGTTCGCGAGGGCCGACTTCCAAGACAAAGTCTGGTTGCGATGTCATGGCCTCCGTCTGCACGCACAAGCTCAAAGGTTCTGACCTTCGGGCCTGCAATAATGCTGCATGGGCGCATCGACGAAATTGCACCATCCGATGGCGTCCGCGTTCATGTCCACATTGGCCCTACTCACAACGTAGACGCGGCACGAAGTAAGGTGCTGATCTCCAAGACGCAGCCTGGCGGTAATGCCAGCAGCCCTGCACCTATAATGCACGGTATATCAACATGCGGGTGACACCCTACGCCGTACGTCTGCATTTCTTCCTTGATCCAAATCGCAACGTAGACGCGTCACTCGGCTCTTCTGTACTGAGCTGCAAAAGATAACCTGGCGGTAATGCTGGAGGTCCTGCGCTGTTCACTCTTATCTCAGCAGCCTTGATCCCGTTTGATCGGTTTCGTATGCCTGCCCAAGCCGATCCAGATTGCAACGTAGAGGCCACGCGCAGTTCTTCCACGGGACTTGAATGTTGACCGCCAGGACGCACCATGGCGGCAATGCCAGCGGCCCCGTGCGCACCTACAGTCGCACGTCCGCACGCGTGGAAGTTTGCTCTGGTGGCCTTCGCAACGCATGCGACTTGGCCCTACCAACCACCACCTGCAGATGCGAGGTACGGCCCGCGCGCAGTTGGCCCCACCATTTAACCCTCCTTTTCCTTCTAGTTGGATTGAGATTGCGATTGATTCGCCCCGATGTTTGCGCCCTCACCGAGGAGCTTCCGCGGACTTCCTGACCTGACCTGACCTGGCGCCCCCATACTCCTGCAAATTCACGAGAAGGAACTGCATAGAAGCAGTTCCACTGTGAAACACTTGCTCAAAATGTCAGCGGCAAACCTAACACCTGACCAGGAGATGCATGGCTGTACTCCTCACCCAGTCGCTTGGCCATGTTCTACCACACGCACGCACGCACACACGCACGCACGCACGCACGCACGCACGCACGCACGCATGCACACACACACAGACCACACACACACACGCACACACACACACACACACACACACACACACACACGGCAAACATGACCGATGAGTGCGATGGTTGAAGAACTTACATAAAGCGAGGTGGCTGAGGGTAACCGAAAGAGTTCCCATATTCGCCCAATCTCCAGATCGACTGAAAGCTGCACTGTTCGGCAATGTCGGGAGCGGCCAAGAGGGGGGTGTCCAAGATGGGGGGTGCAAATCATGACTGGCGGCACGTACGCGGCCCAGCGGGTGGGCCAGGGACGTAAGAAACCAAGAAGAGGCGCCACGAAATCTGGGGAAATATCATGGCCCCCGCCATCATATCCACTCCCCCTAGTCATCACCCTCCTCATTGCCGCCCCCGACAATGGGCAGAAGGATCACCGAGCGACAGTGATGACGGCTAACTGACCTGGCCGGGGTGGCCGCCCTACCTCCAAATCGCGCGACTGTTCCGCGGTGTAGTCGGAATGGAAAACTGGATAACGGCTGGACTCACCGATGGAATCGCAGAAGATGTCTGACCGATTGGCCACATCGTGCACACTACCATCTGACCAGCAACCGTAGTCACTCCGCCTGGTGCGTTTGACACTTCGATCGACATTGTTGTCAAACCTGCCCATCGCTTCCCAGAAAGTGCGGTCTGGCCTACGAAGGCAGTAAAGAAACACAATGTCAAACTCGCGCATCTGCATTAACTCGGTGCCAGTGTTCGGACCGTGGATCCACCGGCCCAGAATCAATGGCTGGCAGCCACGCCTGCCAGCTCACCGCCTCTGTACAGAGTCTGGAACGATGACGCACATCCTTGGTGGGAAACTCGTGGTTGTAGATCACTTCGTGGTTGTTGCATCTCGTCCTCTTTGACTTGGTCAAACGCCATCAAGTCCTCGGTACTAACCTCGGCGTCCTCAACTCGTCCCTGTTTAACCCCTCGGTCACCCTCGATCACCGGGTACTGCTCGTAGAAGATAACGAGACCGCCCGCGAATTTGATGAATAAACCGGCTAACTCCTGGATTGCGAATCGTAGGGTTCAAATGCCCGAGCTGATTTTACCCTGTAATGTAACACGTTTGGTAAAGAACTCTTGCGGAGGGTACCATGGGATCCCCCAGCCATAGCATGGCAAACATCGCACCAAACATAACTAACAGTTCGTCCTCCTGCATGTATGGGAACGCTTGGATAACACCTGCGCTTTGAGCACGTCCTGGTGGGGGAAACGGTAACCACGTCTCAGCTCGGCAAACGCAGCGTTGAATTGACTCGGGTTGAACGGAGGGCGGCAGTCACGGGGCAACTTGGACTGCGAAGCGCTGGTCTGGTCCAATCGGTGCTGCTCATGCATGCCAAATCGGCATCCGGGCAACTCGTTTCTCCACGCGGGGGGCCTTGCCAAGTATGTCAACGGTAACCGTTTGTACACGTCCCCATAGCGGAACTGGAAACTGGCGCGGCAATCCATGGTATCGTCACCACAGATACCCTGCCCCTTAGGGTCCTTTTAACACCCGCTCCACATGATCATTGATCCACTCACCGAATTAACTCCTTAAAAACGAACGCAAAGCTTGGGTGAATCATTTAAACTTGGTCGAGTTGTTTTTGTATTTGTTTTAATGGGATGTGCTCTCATCATCCTCACCCTTGACCCTTGCTGCACACAACTGAGGGCGCTTGCGGAAGTTGACAATCACGCGAGCGCGGTGACGGGCTAACGCTTCTGCGAACGGCGGCCCCAATGGCGGTCGCACCGAACTGCCCGGCCTTCGGCGCATCCGCCTTGGGTTGACCAACCTGAGGCTCACTGGATAGCTCGCCAGCCTTGGGACCACTTGGTAGCCCTTCCCCCCCAGCTGCGCCATTGCCACTGGGTGGCCGACTGCAGGAGCGGGGCCGGCACTCATCAGAGATTTCGTCAACTAAGCGGTCACGCTTAGGCTCATCACCCTCCGACGCCTCGCCCGATTCAACAGGCGGCGGTGCCTTTTTAGGATTGGGTGCTGGTCTGATGGGTATCCCCGAGCCCGAAAACTTGGATGACGTCTCTCGCGTTCGCCTTCCCACGATCCCCATCAGGCGCGGCCTTGGGCGGTGGCCCCGCAATACGTATCAAGATATACGTGCTCCTTGTTTGTTGTGCCAGACCACGACACCACCGCAAACGACAATGCAGGCAGATCAAGGACCACTTACTGGACACCACGGCGTCAGGTCGCTTACAGGACAGCCGTTCGGAGATCCGACACTCTTTCCTGACCCTACCGCCCTGCATCCACGCCCTCAGCGTCTGCACGGACATTGTCAGTGGCCGCATGATCAAGCTGCACACCCAAGCAATCCCCGACGTGCAGCCACCGCAGCATGGGCCGCTATGCGAAGGAGAAAGCGCCCCCTTCTTCGACTCCTTATCATCCTCCTTATCC